CACATCAAACATTTTACAAGGTTGCTGTCTTGGAAAAGTTATACCTCTGGAAAACAGAGACAAACACGACACCATAACAAGTGCTTCTGAGTCTGTGTGGAGTCATGTTTCCCAGCCAAAGAGTGGTCATATGCAAGTCTTTCATTTCTGCACAAATACTCTTCTGTTTGAGGAAGGTATTAATCATCATAATCTTCGGATCCAAAGATATGCTGCTACAATAAGGTTTTCATTCAAGGAATTAAAGCTAGTTTAAATCATGATAAAGAAGGTTGAGAGAAGGGCTTTGAATTTCTACGAATATCTACGCAAAAGCAGTTTTACCTCTTGAACCTTTCCATATTTTGTCATGCAGAAACTATTTGATTGTAATGGAACTTTACGATAGACTAACATAAAACAGTACATATTTGTGAAGTGAAGGGAAATGATGAATGGTTCAACAAATAAAAGTTTGGAGGGTATGCTTATCCCAGAAACACCTTTTGCAGCAGTTTCAACTGCAAATCCAGCTTCACATTGCTAGAGACAAAAGAAATATTGCCCCATTTTCTTTTTAAAATAGTTCAGTAAGATTGGATGAGGAGTAATTCTCAGATCACACTTTGAATTGGACTGAAGTTTGGATTTTCACTGACTGACTAATATATGCACATAAGTTACCTGTATTTAACCAGGAATGTCTTATTGAGATTAAAAATCTCCTTTTCAGGCGAAACCTGGATAAAAATGGCACAGCAAATTAAAACTACTGATACTAAAACTCTACTAAAATGCAATATGGATAATTAAGGAATAAAAATAATAACTTTGAACAAATGAATAGGTTTATTGTTCTAGGTCTGTCGTAAAAAATCCCAATTAAAGTTTGTGATTGTAATTTAATAAAAACGTTGAAAGGTTTAAGTAGTATGAATATTTTTTCAAAGCATTGTACTTCTTCAAAGATCTGTGATGTTTTTCAATTTAATGTGTGCTAAATGAATAATTCAATTACTTTTTATTTAATATTTTATTTAAATCCCAAACCAAATGAAGAAATATTGATTCTTTTAAGACACCAACTGAGTTAATAGCAAAATCAATAAGACATAATAAAAGGATTATGCATGAATATCACCAAGCCTCCATTCAGAATTATAATGCTGACATTTCATTTCATGTCTGTTAAAGACTGAAGTCCAGGAATGAGAAATCCCTCTCTATTACTTTTTATTTGCTGTCAGTAACCGCAGAAGGACAGAAAACTGCCCTGAGGTCAGCGGCGCTGCTCTCCATGCTCATGCTTACAGATATGAGCTTTGTACATAGAGACCCATTGTGAATGTCTGTGAAGTGATCCGGAACAATCTTTTCTCCATAGAAGAGCCAGTTCAGATATGGAAACTTAATCCTGATGTGGCTCCGGGACAAATGAGGGCGAGGATGGGTGACGGTCGGTGACGACTGCTGGGAATTTTCTTTTCTTTTTTGTGGTTCTTCAGAGAAAGTATTGTGTAATGATAGTTTCTTTTACAGACACATATTTCATCTGTCTATGAGCTGTGCTCAAGCTTCATCTCATGATGAGTTTGGGTCTAATTTTGCCCCGACTTTGAACTTGACCCAGTTCTGAGAACTAGAGCCAAGATATCAGTGGCTGCAGGCTGGAAACCCACGTTTCCTTTTGAGAAACGGCACTTCTCCTCATCCAGACAGACAGCTGGAGTCTAAATTCGTTCTTTATTATAATGGGAACATCATCTGTTGGCCATGCCTCCTGGTACATCTTGTAAAAATGTGTAAAACTACTTAATGCAAATCCATTTTTGTTGAAGTATCATAAGACTAGAGTAACTGGTTAACATGACTGCATTCATCACAGGTGTCACAATTATTTCTGCTCAGAATAGTCTTTTTAAAATAAATATAACTGAATCATTTCTCAATCGTTTTACAATGTAATGTTTTTTGTTGTAAAGAAAGTCTAAAAGAATGCCTGATTAGTTACCATTCTTTTATATTTCTAAATTTGTGAAATATCTGCATTGGTGCCTTTTTCCTATTTCTCCTGTTTTCAAATTATGCAGCAACCTCTTCTTTCACAGCAATTTCAGCAATTTCAGTTTTTTAGTGCCACAGGACGTAGACTGCTATACCTGTTTTATGATAACACTGTATCTGTAAAGAACAGTTGGGGTGATAAAGTCTATCTGCCTAACGGTTGAAATGCCCAAACTTTGCAACATCGCAGCTGTGCAGCCAGCGGCTCCTTTCATTCCATAATCTCATTACAAGCGGTGCAAGTAAGATGAATATGAAGCAGAAGAAGAATGGTTGTAAACACATGCTCACTGTTTTTGTATGTTCCTGTTAAAGCAAAAATCCTAATCCTCTTCATTGTGGCTACTTGTTTTTTTTTTTTTTTTCACCTTCAGACTGTATGGAAATCATCTCTGGCATCAGATCTGTGAAGATCCTAAAAAGAATAGGAAGCCCCAAGGGAATGTGGACCAGAGATCCCAAATCCTCCAAGCTTTACGTCTTCAATGGCACATCAGGAGACACGGTCTACGAGTTCAAATCTGTCCGTGACTTTTCCAGATCCCTGGGAGTGGCTGGGAGCAGGATGATCCACCTTCCCTCTAAGTGGACTGGTCCTGGAAGTGCTGTTTATAACGGCTATTTGTATTACATTAATCAGGAAACTGATACAGATGTGCAGGTGGTTAAATTTGACCTGATTAGCGGTTCAGTGACAGACATCGCTATGTTCCCCATGGAGAGGTATGCCAGTCTTTACACTCTTAATCCTGAGACTGTTGCAGACCTTGCAGTCGACGATGAGGGCTTGTGGCTTCTTTTCACCCCCACCGACAGTGAACCAAACATTAGCCTCGCTAAGATGGACACTTCCACGCTTGACATAGAACAAATCTGGGACACCCGGTGCCCACGGGGGAATGCAGAGGCTGCTTTTGTAGTGTGCGGGACAGTCTATGTCGTTTACAACACCCGCATGGCCAGTCGATCTCGAGTTCAGTGTGTGTTTGACGTGAATGACATGATGCTAACTGAAGAGGCTCCTCTGCTTTACTTCCCCAGGAGATACGGAGCTCATGCCAGTCTGAAGTACAACCCTGAGGAGAATCAGCTTTATGGCTGGGATGACGGCTACCAAATAATTTACAGACTCACTATAAAGACAAAATTCTTAGCTTGACAGAAGGGAAATAGGTTCATGTTTGCAAAACTAAAGGACAGTAGCAGTGAATTTCTTCTATCCATTCACATAGATTTGCGTTGAGAAGAATAATGCATGTTCATATTTTCTAAATATGGTTGCAGTGCTACGGAAGCTGTAAAGGTGACATATTATGCTTCCTTGAATAGTTTAGAACAGGTGTACTGGCTAAACAAATCTTGTTCATTACATTTTTTTGCACAAAGTCAATCTTCGATATATGAGATTTTAGTCTGATCACTTCTGTTTATTTCAAGCTCTTTTCACGTGTGAACTAGGGCTGCTCCAACTTAGATGCTCAATTACACAACCCTATATCTTTTAAAAGCAGAAGTGGAGCTTCCTGTACAATCAACAAGAATGCAGCAAGTTGTTTCTGAAACAAAACACTTGTCTTTTCCAGCAGCCATTGTACTGTGCATAAAACCAGCTGGCCAAACATCCTTGGTGCCATTAAATATTTGACTGTGGAGAAATTTCCACTGGGTCTTCTTTACCAGAATTGTCTTAGTCAGCCATGTTGAATGGAAAATAGATCCAGACTAAATTCATTCAATTAAGTAATTTTACCCCTCTAAATGTGAGCTTACCAGTGCACTTTGAGTCTGTGTCCACCTTCAAAACCCAAGTGCTTGTGAGCTTTGGCACACAAACTGATGGCCAAACAGTGCAAACATGATATCACTTTTGTTGGCTATTCTTAGTGACTACTTCTCTGTTTAGTGTTAACACAGAGGACATTTGGAAGAAGTTGATCTAAGTGTCTACTTTGATGTATAACGGATATGTACAGTAAAGTCAAAGAAAACAGAAATATATGTTGTCATAGTTGGCTCATATTTACTGTGAAATGCATAGAAGTTAATAAAATTCTCTTCCACTTTCTGTTTCTTCTACAAAATAAAAATGTGTGTGAAGTTACATAAATTATTTTTTTTCAGTTAGAGCTCATATGTGGTGAGGCGTGCTGTGGTGCCTTATGGGATAGCATGACCCAGGTTTGGAGGCTACGAGTCGTCGACGCAGCCATTTTAAGTTTGATTCCCAGACCTGGCAATATTTGCCGCATGTTTTCCCCCCTCCCCTTAACCCCTTCCTGTCAGTTTACTTTCATCTAAGGGACACAAGAGTTCACAAAAACATGAACTCAAAAAAAGAGTTCATGAATGAAAAAAAAGTGAAAAAATATGAAATAAACGTCAGTTTATGTCTGTTTGAACGATGTGTGTGTCCAGTTGACTGTTTTTTTTAGTTGAGGGGATTTTATTGTAATCCATGAAGGGGCCCAGAAGAAAATCTGTGGGAGCCACTGCCTTAGCCTGAGATCAAATGACACTACAATATTATATGCATAGTAAGAAAATTATGAAAGACACACAGTTGTGAAATTATGAATGAAGGCAATAACAGTCTTAGTGGTAAATAGCAAATAGTTTTCAGATTCCTAAGCATTTTGTTCTTGCCATTGTCTAGTGCTATTTTTATTGCATGAGTTAAATGGAAAGAGAGCAAAAACTTATCTTACATTTTTTGTCATAACATGGTTTAGTTCGTCATTTTAAATGTTCAATTACTCTGTGCACATGGAAAGTGCACAAAGATTCCCTCTGAATGGAGAGACCTCCTGAGAATGAACAAGCTCCCATGTTGACCATGTTCAGCCAGTTCGTTAACCCGCTGCGAATGTTTGCATTTTTCTCTCAGAAACCTGTTTCACAGAAGCCCCTTTCTTTTTGTATAAGTCTTTTAATCAAAGAAAAAGAAATCATGTCACGCCCCATGGGAAAAAGCATATCAAGCTATTTTCCTGATAATCGAGTTTTTTTTTGAGAAATGAAAACTGGTTTCATTTCCTTGTATTTCAGTTTGACTTTATTACATACTGGATCACTGAATTTATCTAGAACCCATTTGTCTTAACCAACATCTCTATTATTACAAATACAAAATGTTTCATAAAAAATTTAAACCTTAGAGCTATTTTAACATTTGGAAAGGATTACAAGATCATATCAACAAACAGTACAATATTAGGCAAAGCTAGAAGGTCTTAAAACAGTCCATAAACTGAGGCAATTGACCAAACAGGTTCCACCGACGATGAAAACACATCACATCAGAGAAATATGACCATCATAAAATACATTGTTCTGTTTTTTTTTTAAAAAGGAGCAGAAACAACACAATAATTCACTCACTTGTTTAGATAGTAGAAATCTGATAATGCCATTAGTCTAAAGAAGAACTTCAACATTCAAATAACTGAATTACAGCAGCGTGTTGATGCTATGGTAGAATACGTCAAGCATGAACAATGCACCGACTCGTTCTTGCTCGAACAAGTGCCAATTGGAGAAATGCCACCGTTTTGTTGATGCTGACCTGTCCGCCCAACAGCTTCCCCCGCTCTGTCATCTTAGGCTTTCGGTTTAACACCAAGGTGCCAAACGACTTGCTACAGGTAAATTTATCCGCTACGGAAATGTCTAAAACAGACTTTTCTGGGTCTGCTGAATCCATCTGCTTGTGTATTCATGTCTGCCTCCGATTTTCCCATGACATACTCTGTGGCACAAAGTAAAATGCATCTGTACAAACTGTAATCTGTGATTGATGTTAAGCTGCTGTCCTGCCAGGTATCATCTCCAGATTGCAGCTTCTCATATTGTGTTCCAGATGTGTTAATAAGGAGCTTGACATCAATTACTGCATCTGGAGGCTCAAACTGAAACTCAAACAAACTGAATCGGGACGCTACCGGAAATTGGACCTGAATAACATGTTTTGGTAAAAACAAACATGTTTATGATTTTTTTTTTTTAAACAATGTCTGAGAACACAAAACAGAAAATCTCACAATGTCATGATCATTTACAATAATAATTTCAGTATTACAACATGAAACAATCATAAACTGATACAAATACAAGATAAATGTGCTTTTATCTTACAATTGTAATGTTTTTAGAATTCACTGCCTTTTATGTTTGCTAACAAAAGACTCCGTCGCAATAACAATAAATCAAATTACATAGTGAGCAGACGCTGCGGCAGATGGTTGTATGCAGAATCTAAAAATGAAAGTGAAGACTGTGATTTTCCGATATGAGTCGCTGCCCGATGTGAGTCACTAACATGAAGAAGGTGAGCTACAACCACACTTTATGCTACTCTTTCTATTCTAAATAGATTTTGAAAACTTTTCTACAGATGTGAATAAACAATGTATTTTGCTGTTCATCTCTAAAAGTTGCAAATCTACAAGTTGTAGTAGTTATTTTGGGATATAATGTAGTTATACCTGTATTTTTTCAATTTTTTAAATTTAAAAACAGTACTTTCAATACATAACATTTTATATGATAAGTATTTAAAGCAAATGCATATGTCTTCTAGATGGAAAGACAGAACAAAACAATCTGTCAAATAAGTAAAAATGTGTACAGTTACTTTTATTAAAAACACAAAAGTAAGAATTATGCTTTCTGCTATACCTTTGGTCAATTGCTGGATTCAAAAGAATTCATCAATGGGGAAAGCTGGGAAAAACTCAATTAATTGTATGAAATCTTTTTAGAGAGGCTTAAAATCATATGAAGAGTATTATTGAAATATCTTTCACTGTTTTGGAAATGTAACTTTAAAAAAACCCCTGAACAGTAATTGTTTTTACTGGAAAGATCGGCCATATTGTTTTCATGTTGTGAAGATTTAAGATTATTTTCTTATCAGGCAACTGGGATATGTGCAACTTCTATTAGATAGTGAAACCTTAAATGTGACTCAAATTGGGGAGAGACCTACATCACATAACAGATTTTGCAGGCTACTGTAAGTACATTAACACTAGCAGAAATAGAAATGTTTACAGAAAGTTTTAATGCCAAACAAGGAAGACAGAAACATCAATGTGAAACGGTTAAACAAAAACATACTTGCTTACCCTTTAGAGTTCAAAAAAGTTCCCAATTTCATATAATAGTAACAATATAGAGCTCTTTCCAAAACACCAAACGACAAGAGCTAATGTTGATAATCTCATTAGCTACTGTTGCTAGCTAGGATAAAAGAAAAGCAGAAAAGTTCCACTCTATTTGGTTTGGTATAACTGAATTTTGTTCTCTAAAGCATACTATATATAATTTACTGCTAATTCACCTACATAGAGCAAATTTATTATTTAGCGAAAAAATAAACAGAAAAATGTGGCATTTGAAAAAGAAAAAAGGGAATATTATCACTTTATTTTTATCTTTTGTTTCTTTAATCATGATCACAAACCACAAAAAATATCACAAAACCTCAAAATATTTTTTTTTTAAATTCTACTTATGTTCTCAGTTTATATTTTTTTAATTTAGAAAAGGAAAACAAACAGCAGAGCACCTGTACATAAATATATTTACATCCACCAAAATAAGTAACAAAAATAAACCTAACAAGGAGACAAAAGTGCTTGTTTGTAGTGTATTTTGGAAGAAAATCAAGCATTTCTGTTTTGTTTTGGAAGAAACTGAACACCAAGGTGATAAAAAGGTTCCGGTGTTAAAAGTGTGCTTCAAAGTCCCTGTTGATGGAGATCTTTGCACCTCTCTTCATTAACAGCTTCACTTCTTCTAACACACAGCATTTTAATAGTTATTTTTAACAGTGTCAGACTCCTGTGCCTTCGTGGCGTTTGTAAGTTCCCTGAACTTTCAAACTGCAGTGGAAACCAAGTTGCTCAACTCTGAATTTCTGTTGCCTTGTTTCGTTTTTCTTTTCAGATTTTGAAAGCTACACTGAAAAGATACTTGAGGTTTCAGCCTGGCCCTTCCTCTCATAAATAAAACAGACATCTTAAGTTTTAATGAAATAGATAGTATTTTAAACTAAATACATTTTAAAGCTAATTATATGTATATATATAAATAATTTAAAAAAGGAATAATATATGTTAATTCAGGACTGCAAAAATAAACATGAGTGAGCCATAGACTTCTAAAACAGCTTGTTTTTAAAATCATCTCTTTTTTTCCTTTCTTTGCGATGCATGTGCTCAGCTTCCCTTTGTGAGACATCTGCTGCTTTCATGGAGTGATATCCAACAGGGCTTTTTCCTTCAAAGAGACTCCATGGCTCATAGTTAAAACCTCTGTTTGTCCAGGTCCATAGTGATACCAACAAGCTCGATTTACCTAAGCTTGGACAAATCAACAATCAATGTCTGCAGACAGGATTTCCAGCCAATCTCCTAGAAAACAATGCTAGCTTCAGGCCATCACACCAGCCACGTTGAGAAAAGTTTGAGCTTCTCTTAGCTGACAGACAGACAGTCCTAGTTCAGTACTTGGGAGTGCTCTGGGACTAGATTTGAGGAAGTGAAGAGCTTGGGAGTGAGAAATAGAGAGAGCGGGAGAAGGGAGAGACAGTGGGATTGTGTTTCTCCTCAACCACATAGACAGGAAGTGGATCAAGAGGAGGGAGGAAGCCCCTTCTGGGCTGTTGGGTCACAGGTAGCTCATCTCAGGGACTAGCAGGGGGCCTCGGTGAGGGGCAGGAGCCCTGGCTGTCAAAGCTGGCAGTTCTCGCCTTCCACTGTGGGACACACAAAACACAAGACTGTCATCCATTTGGCATACGCACTTCTGTTACAGAGCAAACTGAGAGGTGCTTCAAAAACAAAATGTGCTGTGAAAAAATAAAACTATATTTTTCACCTAAAATCAAGGAACTTTGTTGTCATTATTTACAGCAACTAGTTACATTTTCTCTGTTAAATTTGCTGGAGCAACCTTTTGAAAAAAACTACTTTTATCCCTAATTTACACTACAAGAGGCTCTATTGTGCTATGGTAAATACGCATCCATTATAGTGTATGAGAGCATTTACACTGAGTCCGCATGGTGTCACACTTCTGCAGAACCGATTCTGTTTTGACCTGACACCAGAGTAAATCTTCAAAGATCACCTTGCTCCCAACAGGAAAATACATGGGCACAATATTTGTATTTTCAAAATAATTCACCAAGAAGGGAAAATACATTAAATTGGAAGTGAAGAACTAGAGGATTTTATGACACCACTCATCATTTTTACTACTTTCTTTATCAAAAGTTCTGATTTTCCATGCATGCTTCTTGAAGCACTTATGCAGAATGGAGAAGAGACACAAGTAGTATAAATTGGGCTGCTCTGGAATGGCTGCAGTTCACTTGCAAATTGCAGAGTGGAGTTGGATACTACATAGCAGCTTATATTTTTGATTTAATATATTTATTTATTAAGAAAATAACTGATGCAAAAGACATGGCGTGTACAAATACTCAACCCAGCTTTTGGCTTGAGATGTACCAGATGGTGAAGATTTGTCCATCAATGGGCGCTTGATCCGACAAGTGGAAATCTCCACTTCTTCCATTAGAGCCCCGAGGATCTTACTCACCTCCTTCTCAGATTTCTTGGACTCCACAAGGGGATGCCAGTGTGCAATAGGCTTCCGTGGATAAGCCAGCATTTCATTCCAGTGGTCCCTGCCAAGTCCCTCAGCATGGCTTCCAACCCTCATCACACCAATGATCTCATTATGACCCACCCTGCGGAGGCACAAGCACGTAATATGGAGAATCAATCTGATTTAACTCAAAGCAACATCTCATACATGCCATTTTTTATAATTGCGTGAGGACCATTTTGTAATCAAAGGAGACACAATTCTGATTGCCCATCCCCTTTCAACTGATGCAGCTGGTTGTCTCTGTGGCATTTACCCTGACTTGATCTGAAGGCATTACAGCTGATGTTTGTTAACAATTTAGTAAACAGTGGATAAATTTAGACTTTCTTTTAATCTAAAAATCCTCATATTATTAAGACAACATGATTGGATCCCATTAGGATTGTAGAATGTAAATAAAACATAAAGAACTAGGAATCTAATTCTGCAGGTATCCTCTCCTTTTAACAAAAAAAGGAACAGGAAAAGAAAAATACCCACAATTTGACCTTTAACGTGCACGTTCTCATTCTGTCAGCTGTCTGCACTGCAGCCGTTCTTTTCACATTGCTTGGACAGAGTCACATTCTATAAACACAAAGCACCATATTGCACTTCTTTTGCGCTTATCTTTATCTAAAGAATATAATTTCAGTGTTTGCTACAGCAAATTGTAATTACCTACCCCGCAGATTCTTACATCTACATAGTGTGCCTAGTCCAATTTGTCTAGTTTGTTATGATATATTTACTCTGTGTGATGTTTCTCTCTGCATGACAAGCAGTGTAGTGAGAAAGAATTGCCTCTTAAAGATTTTTTGTTTTTATTTTTATCTCCAACCTAAATGCTTCAGATTAGCATGTACATTTTATATTAGTGGTAATAATTTTGCAAATGATTCATCTCTGGTTGCAGCATTAACTGCCGTCGACCATCGGTGATAACTGGGAATTTATTTTTTGCATCCATGTGAAGGAGTTTTGGTTTATTCTCCCTTAAAGAATTGAGTTCATTGAAAGCCACTCCAGGATCTATGAACATGAGCAGGAGAGCTCACTCTGATTTCAGTCCAGACTTTGACTAGGTTGATTTTAAAGAGCGGAAAGTGTATTTTTACATAGGGTCAGACTGGTTGCAAACTGGATAGCTTTTGTGAAAATGAAATCTGAATTTATAAATGTGTTTTGCATTTATACAGGTTGTATTTGTCCAATATTAACATTTTCTGCAAGAGGCAACTATTAAATCTCTTAATTAATTCTAAATCCCCAATTAAAAATACGACTAATCACTTGAGCTCTACACTAACGTACAAATCATAATCCATCACAGAGATGTGCAGGCTGACGTGGTCCATGCTGTCTGGAGGGATGTCGAAGATGATGGCCTCGTTGTAGGTGGGATTCAGGGTGTTCTTTTTAATGCTCGTTTTCTTCTTTTTCAAACGTCTGCCGTCACAAATGAGCGATACTTTGACATAGGGATCTAATAAGAAGAAGAAAAGAAGAGAAGACAATGAAACTCATCATGTTTGTACATCCTCCCACTTATTGAACTCATTTTCCCTCCAGTAGAGCAGTACCAATCTGAGATCATTGTTTAAGAAGATAAAGCTTCAATGTTTGCTGTCAACAAAGAAGCATTCCCTTCCAGATTTCATAAACTAGTGCGTGAGTGTTTCTACTCAAACAGGAAGGCAGTGCTGGAGGACCTGGCATCAGTAACATGCATAAAAGTGACTCATCACCATGCGTAAACAAAATGGATGTGAGAGCCAAAGATAACTTCCAAATAGCATCACTGAGAAAGCTTTCAGAATGCTGATTTCTCTCTTCATTTCAGTGATAAATCACTTCATGCCAGGTTTTAGTCATTTGTAAGCTGCTCCGGATCTATAAACAGTTGGACATGCCGGAAGGCACAATACAATAGATTTGGGTTTACAATGCACAGACTGAAATAATGGCAGACAGCTAAAGCTCTGATAACTCGGGGGAATTAAAATAGTGAGTCACATCAAAAGCTGTGAAATGTCATTAAATGTGTGAGAGAAAAAGTACCACATTCATCCTAAATAACACCTGAACTCTGGCATTTAAAGCACAATAAATGTCACATTTTACAAGTGATATCCCAATCGAAGGGGAAGGTTTAATAGAGAAGTAGGAAGGCAGTCTATTAAAATAAAAGATTGTCTGAAACTATTTGCTGACAAATTTTCAATCTTGCAGGTGCAGAGTATTAATAACTGCTGAAATAATCAGAAATCACCCATGCAGACCATCTTCCACGGCTTCTTCATCCTCCCTGACATGCCTACAAATGGGTATTCAGAAGAGGACCGTTCTTTTTGACTCACTGTCACTGTAAGTGAATCATACAAAGAGAACACGGCTCACCAGAATACCCGGTGATATCCATGGCCTTGAGGTTCCTGCACTTGATGACGGTTAGTGTGAGTCTGCCAGCGGTGGGCAGGTAGCAGAGTGAAAACATAATCTCCCCAAGGTCAACGCTTTCCTGTCAGAACAAAACAGAAAGAGAAAAAAAAACTATTTTACTTTCAGCCCTCAAGTTTTCTTCACATTGCGTGGATTTGACAAATTATTTGAAGAATTCTTTTATATATTGGATTTTACAGCAGCTTTCACCTAAATTTTAACTTTTCATATAATAATTTACTTTCGGGATTTACATTATCCTAATAAACTCTGCGTACCCCTGTACTTTAATCACGTTTAGTCACATTACAGCCATGAACTTATCTATGGTCAATTTCCACTTTTTTTTTTTTTCCCATTGGCAAGTTGATTTTAAAAACATATAATAAATACAAGAATAAAAACCACAAAATAACACCATGGAGTAGGAAATGCATAAAATAACTTTACACATTTGAATATAATCAATGTTGACAGTTTTGGCTTTCCAAGACCCATGTAGTTTTTTCAGATGCCTTTTGAATGAAATGAGAAGTGAAACATCCCTTTGTAATGGAAGATTTTGTAATATGCTCCTCAGCCCTCTTCTGCTTTAGGCATTTCTGTATAGTATCATCATGATATTGGTCAAGCTGCTCTCCTATAAACTTCTACAGAGCTGAATAACAGCAGGGGAGAGCTCCTAGATCCTAGATCCTATCTAAGTGTTACTTCCCCAACGTAGATCTTATCTGCCCTCTTTAGCATCAGAGAACATCCTCCTTTCCTTAACAATAGTCAAATGGCCAGACCATCTGTGTTGGACTGCACAGAATCCGTAGTACATTACAATCTGGGATTCGCACCTATAGTCCAACCAAGTCTCTCTTCTCTGGCCAGAACCTATATAAGGAAGCCAGAAACACTGTTGATCAGAGCAGACTTGACAGACTTCTTTGACTCTGTATTTCTGTTCGCACCTTGCAAAGTTTTAATAAATTTATTATTTCTTCTCATCACTTAGCAAAAAAATAAATAAAAAGGCAAAAAATTACAAACGAAATTAATTTTTTAGTGAAGGATTACTGCTAAATAAAGAGGATTTTATTCTGTTTTAGTCTACATATCTAAATAAGAATAAAAGGTAAGGGCACTTTCTAGTCATACTGACAAGTGAATAAACATTGGGCAAAAATAGATTTGTTATATTTTAGCTGTGATGACGGCTAAGGCAGAAACATGGTGAGCAAATGATTTTCATAACAACTCAGAAATCAGGACCAGACTGGAAATTGCAACAGCAGCCTGTAGACTACAGATGAGCTGATGATAAAGCAACTGAACCAAAGAGTATTTATAATGGGCAGTTTAATTACTGAATGCTGCCCAGGTGAGTAAGTGAACAAATCAGGAACAGTTGTGAAAGATTTTAGCTGAAATTCCTAGGGATCATGACGTTTCTACGCATTTGAAACTCATGCATTCATTTGGATAATGAGAATGGAGACTGCAACACAGTGACACAACAGGAATCAACAAATTAAAATTGAAGGACCTCAAGGAACTCAAGCAGTATTAAGCCTTTTCTCACAATAAGCTGCAATGAAGAAAAACAAAACAAGTTTGTTGAATAGCTACAATCAGTCAGATTATTGTCTGTTTTTTGGGTCACATGCTGTCGTTTATGGCAAGATGTCTCCACTTAAAAATTAGGTAATTATTAGAGACGACTACAAATGCAAACTCATTTGTGTAAACTCTCAAAGATGACATAATAAGAAAACATGAAACACGAAAATTGAGAAAGATTATTATCAATTTTCTACTCAAGAGTCTTTAACATTAATCTGATCTCCCCTAAACTCAAAATTATTTTACACAGCAAAAATGTAGGAGTTGTCAATTTTGATGCATTGAGCAGGAAAAAATATTTTTGTTCCCCAATTTATTTTGATTCATTAACTCAGATGAATATTTTTCATGTCTAGTGTTAATGTTCCAATAGAGGCACGCTTATGTTCCTGTTTCTATAAACTAAAAGGGCTGACGACGAGTTCACGGTGTTAGACATTAAATCGAAAAAAATGTCTCCACCATTTTTAGGCAAATTATGTATTTTTGAAAAGAAGAGTCATGTGGACGATAATGATCTGATAATCAATGAATCATCAGTTTAATGAATGGTACCTCATTAATGAGGAGCAGGTCAGAATTGACTGTGAACTCGCCATTAGCACCTACTCTCTAACTAATAATCATTCTTTAGTATCTGGGAGAATCTTGCTGAGAGGTTAGTGAATCTTTTTTTTTACCTATTTCTCAGGTAAGTTCTAGTTTTGCATGGATGTGAATGTTAATCCATGGGATAAATATAATTTGTGGATAACTTTGGAGTCTGAATATATTATAAAACATGGTACCAAAGTCAGTAAGATTGGGAAAAAGTATCACCAAGTTTGGAACTGGGATGAGGTGGGTTTTTTTGGCCGTATCAAAATAATTATTTTTGCAAAACACTAATGGAAGCATTTCCATTGATCATGAGTCACATGATCAACCACCCAATGTTACTATTGGAGCAAACCATGAAGAAATAATTGGAGGATCATTGCGCAGCATGTTCTTCAATGACCTACTGCGTATGTAAACTCATTCAAATGTGATTTTAATTGCGTTTGTTATTTAATGGAAAAACAACAATTGCAAAATTACACTTAACAAGACTTAGTAAATACGAACTTGCAGGAAATAATTTTTTTGAGTCCATGAAAGTTGTTGCTCCATTTGTCATGCATATGTGGTAGTCATGAAAGTGATAAAGAGAAGCCTGAGGGAGCCACACCAAACCAGATAGCAGACAGCTTCACTTTAAACCTTCAAGGCTCTTCAGCAAAAAATATGAAAGCTATGGCGTTATACTTTAATGGAGGTAATCGAGGATGAAATGTGTTTAAGACAATGGATATTTGAAATTTTAGCTGTCTTCTATCCTACATATTCCTATAAACCTGCCTACATTCCTATTAACTCAAGCTTACTTACAGAAAGTCCTACGGGAGTCCTTACTGAGCTAATACTATTAAGTGGAATGAGTGTCCTGATATCTGCAATATGTGGGCTCTTAGCCCCATCAACATTATTAAGGTCTCACAGCTCACACTGAATGAGCTTGGGAAGAACTCTGATGATTGGCAAATCCATAAGCCTCCTGTCAGAGAGCAGGATTCTTAACTCCACACATACAGCTGCGAGCCAGATTTCTCCACTGTGCCAGTCTGGCATTCTGTTTGACGGGTGGGAAGGTTCTCCCCTAATGTGGGAGTACAGCAAATATATCAGGAGTTTATCAAGAGCTATAAAACATAAAGTGACACTTTGATTGTCTGTGTAGAATCACAGGCTGTATCAGAGGATGTCAGTAACATCTGCACAGCATGAATCTTTCTTAGGAACACTGAGGTTTACATACTAAAAGTAGGGGCCACACTAGGCGTGTTGCAAAAAGCTATTTTTATGTCCGCCCATCTTTTTGTACACTCTTGTCCCTAGGGGGAAAGGAGGGGTGCTGCTGTCTATCTCCAGGTAACGATCCGGGCGAGAGGCGGGGTACACCCTGGACAGGTCACCAGTCTGTTGTAACTATTGTACTTCATTTTTTTTAACTATTGCACTTTTGGACGATTCATATAGTGTCCTTAAAAATACCTTAAAGGTAGTGTCCTTAAAGGTATACTTAAAAATACCTGAAAATATACCTGAAGGGGAATTGGTGACCTACTAATATTGATCTGTGTATCTTTGACATTTGGAGCTCTGCTAAAGTCCCATGAATAATTAAAAATGAAGCCAGGCCCTGGATCACATTTGTGTGGCCTTTATGATCCGTCAGAATCACACGTTAGCACTAGTCCCACCACAGTAAACTGGAAAAAGCTATACAGCCTTTAAGATCCTTCAATATTTTCAAAAATCATTTGAAAAAACTAAAAGGTTTAAACAGGTTTTGAATCGAATTGATTTTCTGTTTCACTCCATCCTTATAATGTCTTTATTCATTTAATATACATCACTTTTAGTATTCATCACTACTTGATCAATAGTCACCTCTATTCATGCATGCGATTAGCCAGTGAAATCGTTCTGATAATACTTTGTATTGATCAAACGCACAGGACAAATTGCTTGACATCAATATGTTTCTATTATCTGCAGCGCTTGTAATCTTTATCTTCAAGGTCGAGATTATCAGTAAATATCTCCCTCTAATCAGATAATCCAAGAGGGGAACAGATACCTCAATATTGCTATCTTTTGCACTCATTAAGCCTTTCACCATCGTACATCTGCTTTTTGAACACTCACCATCTGTGCATTCTTTATGTTACCTATCCTGGAGTTGATGGCAGCAAGGTGTTTTGTCATAAAATCAATCGGTGGTTCAATTAAGTTAGTGTGCCAAGAAAGGATGCCTGCTTTTCTGCCCGCAATGCAATAATGTTGAGATTACTGAACAAACCCTGAAGAAGTTCAACAGTGGGAGCGAGGGGAGCTGTCAGATAATGACACCCTGTGGAGGTGATAAAGTGACAAGGGCTCTGAGGCGCCTAATGTGCTGCCAACAAGTAAACATGTCATTCTTGAAAATGGCCTCTGGAAATTGTTACGAAGCCACAAAACTTACTTTAAAAGTTATGAGTGTAAGACATGTCCTCTCCTCCCCCTGCAATCGTATTGGCACCTCTGGTAAAAATCTACAAAAAGCTTTTATTTGCATTCATATAATCCCAGACTGATTTTTTCATTTTTTTTGTTAAACCCAACCAAATCATTAAAAAGATTAAAATAGCTGTCTGTTTGGGACACATAGAACACAAAGTCTTTTCAGCCCCACCATCACAAACGTAAAGGTGGAGTTTCCTAGATGCTTCTGATTCTGTGCCTGATGAAAAACAGAGGATACATTTTTGCCTTCAATTTCTCCTCCGAAGGCCCCGGAAGCCTGGTGAGAGTGAATGGTTTCTAACAAATTATATACCAGCATATAGTCTGGTGATCTCTGCCAAATAGACTGAAAATAGCTCCTCACTGGGACTTTCAGAAGAATAAAATTACCAGAAAAAACACCAAATCAACCATTTTTCATGGGCTTTGCTGCCTCCAGGCCTAAAGCTGCATGCTCCAAAAATGTACAATAAAACAAAAATTACCATATAGTTAGCAAAAGCGGATTGGTCAATGTTTAAACATCAGGTGTGTAAATACGATGGTATCCCAAGTTTTATAAAAAACAATTACAGTGAACCTCTGGTATCAGTTTGAGAATCCCTCTGAAAATGCTTCTTACTACCCATTTTAATATTTCAAACACCAACTGTACATTAATGTGCTGTCATTTTCCCACTGGAAACCATCTCAGCACTCCTGCAGAAGCTCATTATCTACACACTTCCTCATCTCCTTGAGGAGATGCATAGTGCTTGCTGAACATCAAAATACTACTGTACATCATGAGTGTAAATTTAAAGGTTGGCAGCAAAATTGCAGATGGAGGAAATACAAACTACAACAGCCTTCAAATAAGAGGAAATACTAAAACATTTTATAATTCTTTCAAGAAGCACAATAACCCAATAACCCTGTGCTTTTCTGCTTAGCTTTATCACGATGACTGGCAGTGAAAACGAGTTGGTTAAATGAAAGGAAGGAATGTTCCCCTACAGTCTGAAAATAAATTAAATATGCAGATACTTTTGATAAATGTACCTTTTTGACTTTCATGTAAAACTCAAGGTTCTGAGAAATATAGATGTGCAGCTGAAGAGCATATGTGTGTAGCAATTACTAATCAGATAGCTTCGTTAGTTAATGAGCTCAGCTCTTAGAGGCAGCTGAAATATTATCTTATCTGGTTGAGAAAATCTACCCATTCATCATTTACACCTCTTTGTCCTTGCAGGGTTGCATGGGGCTGGTATCTCTAGTGGTCATTTGGCAACTACAGGCAACACAGAGGCACACAGCCATGTACACGCAATTAACCTAACATTCACGATTTTGAACAATGAGAATAAGCTGGAGTACCCAACAAGAACTTCAACGCTCCAAGCAGGAAAAACCCCAAACTGCATCTAACTTGCACTTGCTACCAGTGCAAGGTAGCACTGCTGCCTTGCTGCAAGGCAACCTAGAGAAAAATTAAATACTTAGAAAAATGAATGATAAACTATATAGTTGTCAAAAGACATATCTGCAATGTTAATCTGTGTCTTACTTTTTTTTTTTTTTTTGCACAAAATAATTCCTAGACAATCAGGTTTTCTGCCCATTTTTATCTCCTTCTAGAATTGTTTTATGTCAATTTAAATACAAATAAACTGCTGCTGGCCATTCCCTGCAATTCAACGTTTATACTTGCATGTGAAAATAGCTGCAAACAGATGCACAATTACTCATTGGTGCATCTTTGAAAAAACGAAGTGGAGCCTCCTGCACAACCAACAACAATGCAGCACTTGGTTTCTGGGTGGTTAGTCAACAATAAATCTCTGTACAGCACTAAAACAGTAAAACCAGCTGACCAAACATTGTGCAGCTCTGCCTCAGTTGCTATGTAACAGGGTGGGCATAGCTGGGGTTACTAGGTGACAGCACAGTCCCCTTCAAATGTGACTTAACAATCGGGAGGTTTTGAAACGGCTCATTTTCCAGACACCAAAAAACATTGACTTATTGTCCAAAAACAGCTGGTGTTTTTTGTAAATCATTATGGTTGTTTTCAGAAGTTGAAAGCCAAATGGAAGTTTTAAAACATTTCATTTTCTAACCATCAAGCAAAAATTAATTTGTGTATGAGTGGTTATAGACATTGGATGAATAGATTGATGAAACTAAAGTAAGAAAAAGAACAAAGCTAATTCTTACACTTGTAGCATACTGGATGTCCCTCCATATGTTCGTCTCCCTCGACAGGTCCGACATCTCGAACAAATTCTCCAGCACCACTTCCCCGATCATATCATGTCGGGAAAATCTGTCAAAGTCAAAGACGCTCATGTGTAGCTTCCTGACGGGCAGCTCGTCGTAAGGCACAGGAAACTGGAAGCTTTCACTGAACGTGGGATTGAGCGTCTTCCGGTGGACGCGTGTCTGGAACTTCTTGCGGTCAGGCAGCAGGTAGACTTTCACATAAGGGTCAGACGTGCCACACAAGTCCTTGGCAGGTAGGTCAACGGCCCTGAGAATATTGACAAGCAACGCCTCATTTTCGTAGTCGTACTTAAGCGAGAAGTTAATCCTGCCACAGTTTTTTTTGCCGTCATTCTTGGACGATTCCTCTGACTCAGAGGCCTTCTGCTGGTACAGCTCTGGTTGGATGCGACCCAGGCTGGTTGGCTTTTCTTCCCTATCCACCATGTAGTCGTTTCCCAGATCTAAGCTGCCCACTTGCATCTGCCTGGGGAGGTGTCTTTTGAACGAGTTGTGCCTGAAGAGATAGAAATGATTAGATGGTATTTGTGTTAAACAGCTGCAGTGAGAATGCAGGGAATAACTGTGGGATTTGTATAATTAACAGGCACAGATCCACTCTTGTTGACAAAGGGCAGAGGATTGTTTTTCACTCTTTGCAACAGACTAACAATCCTGCTGGTACATGTATCTGATAAAAAAAAAAGTCTAAAAAGGTTTTGAAACACTGCTGGTCAGAAGTACATTCACCCACCACTGACATGGCGTAACATTTACATTTGGCTTTTTATATGCATTTGAATTCTTATTTTTTGGTGTGGTATACAACAAATAAGTTTAATGAATAATAAAATTATCAATACAGCTTCGATATTACATTGCATGGCTTTATCAAATGTTTTTTGTGGATATTAAGTTAATAGAAATAACTCTGGTTTGATATTTCATCATGCTTATTTAAAGTGGTTGGTTTCTTCGGAGGTTGAGGTTGTGGCCATTTGACAAGTTTAATGTTTCTGATTCTAAAAGTCAGTTTGAGATCATTGATGTGTTGGAACGTCCAACTGTGTTGAAAGGTTTGACTCATCTCACCCAAAGTGTCAGCCTCAGCTAAAAAGGAAATTGGTCGGGAGGTTGAAGAGCAACCTGGGAACCACCAAAGCTCAACCCTATTGTAAACTGGAAGGTGCTGGAACTGTCCGCAGTGAGATGAGCTTAACTTCCAACTGAAAATGATGTCAACCATATAAAGAATCAATGATCCAAAATTATCACTAACAAGCTTAACTAAAATTTGATGCTGTCCAGATTAACAAGCTTTGAAAAATGCTTTTATGGTCAGACAACACAAATACTGAGTGATCGAACTACAGCGCCAAGAAAAATGTCTGGTGAAGTCACAAACATGCTTTTAACTTCTAAATAATGTCAAGCATGATGGCAGTACCCTCATTGTAATGGTGAGACCCAGAAAACTACTTTCTTTGCTGCAAAGAAAGTAGTTTATAGAACACAATCAATAGAGCAATAGAGACAAAAGACTACATCCAAACTTATCATTTTTCTACTGTTTTGGCTGGTGCAGATCAATAAAGCCAAACCCTTTGAAAAACTTTTTTCACCCCCTCGCGTGTGGTGTGGCTGCGCCAAGAACCAATGAAGGAAATAAAACAAAAACTTCTGAAGAACACACTTAACCCAATTTCCTTCTTTGGAGAAAGCATGAGAGTTCAGCAGTTGTAGGATCTCTCTTTTGTCTTTGGTTAAAGTCCACCAAACATTTCTCTGTCTAGCAATAGACATTTGCATTTGTTTTGGTTGTACTTACCAGAATCTCCTGAGCTTTAGCCCAGAGACCACTCCTACTTTTGGAGTAGTCTCTGGGCTGCTTGCATCAACATATGTATTCAAATCGCACCAGAGTTCACTTAAACCAAACCAAAATCTAGGTTTGTTGGTGGACCAAAGTCAGACTTTCTATACAAATGAAGTAGAGCTTGATTAAAGCAGATTAAACAGAGCAGGTGCGAATGTGCCCTGATAGTCTTTTATGTATTTTAAAACATTTTTGAGAGATGGCTATCCCTTTTCAAATCAGAAGCAAACTTCTTCAATGAATTAAAATAATTGTAGCACAGCTTGTTGCTACAGGAGCTTAGAAAGTCTTTGTATTAAGCAGATCATAAACAGTTCGTAATATATTGATATTTGTCATTTGAAACCATTTGGAAGAATAGTGAAACTGTGTTTAAGAACATAGCTTTAAATTTGATTATTTGCCACAATATAAAAGCATGGCCAGGCTGTGACCATGTTCAGTAATTAAAGAAATGGGTCTGTGTGTCATGTCCTATCTGTGCTCCGGGTAAATCGAAAGTCATGGATTACTAATACACTTAAATGATGATGATGAAACAAAAAAAGTAAAGTGTGAATTAAATGAAAATGTGTTACCAACATAGAATTTGTCCAGTTATTGTAGCAAGAAATATTTTATTAGAATCTTTAATACAATTCATAAAAATGCTCAAATTAAGGGTGAGATTTCTTTTTTTACATTTTTCAGTAAGAGGTTATGCGGCTTTAATAAAGGTTAAATTTATATCAAGGATTTTGGCACATATTCACCTGGGGTGCTAATAAGTGTGGAAGGTGCAATAAACCAACAAAAAACTGATATTTATTGGCTTCTTAAACTGCTCCAACTATGCTGCAAAGTGCTTCTGGTACAGCATATGATTGTGTACTCTGTTTCATCATGGTAATTAGTTTGAGGACTCATATCAGCTTTATGAGAATGACCTACAGAGAGTTGCAGCTGAATTATGTTCAACAACCTCAATATATATTAAGTTAATCTCTGCAGGACCAACTTGTTTTGAAAATGTAATTCTCTCATATTAGTTACACATCAACTGTTCTGTGAAAATGTGTTTCAGCTTGAGGTTGCTTCTAATTTGCATTATTTATATGTCATGTTGGACTCTGCAAAAACACTAAATCTAACCAAGTACTTTGGTCTTGTTTCTAAAGAAAAAATGTATTTGTACACTTGACATAAGACAAAGTTAACTTACAAGTACGGTAATTTTACAGTAAGATGTATGAGCTTATTTAAGTAAATAATTCCTTACTTTGATCTAGTTCCATTGGCAGATAATTTCAGTATGAAAAGACATTTTTCCATGCTATTAAAGACCTAATCTGCCAAAGGAACTTATACTTTTTCATCAGTATTGAAGTATTCTTTCTCTCTTGTCTCCTATAGCTTGCTGAAAAGTTACTTGTCAAATAATTTTGCTTGTTTCAAGAGTAAAAAGAAATTAGCACTAGACATTAGACCACGAATATTTAAGACTTTCTGTTTTTGCTGTGAATGGCTTGCCTACAATACATGTTGAAAATTCTGCACTGCAAAAACATAAAACCGTACATAAATATGTATTATGGTCTAGGTTATTGTGCAAATATTTGAGTTCACCTGAAATAACACAAAACTTATTTATCCTATTTAATGTTTTCCAGACAAAACTGGGACACAAAAACACACACAAATTACTAAAGTTATTTTTGTGCTATTGTAACCATTAAACAATCTTATCTTCTGTTCATATAAGTGGAGGCACATTGTTGATGTTACCATTATAAAATAACTTACCATTATGTATCAGCAATGCTCAATGTAATTTTCACAGGTGGCAGAGCGTTCTGGTTAGCAGCTGCTGAAAGTAACTAAAAAATTTTACTTTTAGTGTAACTTAATTGCTTTCTAAATCAAGTAATCGGTAATCCAAGTTTCTTTTTCAAAGAGTAATCAGTAATCCGATTAAAGTTACTTTTTCAAAGAGTAATCAGTAATCCGATTAAAGTTACTTTTTCAAAGTAACTATGCCTTCACTGCTTACAAGTACATTTTCATCAAGAAGTTTGAACTTGTTGAAGTTAATAAACTAAGAGCAAATTGAACAATAATTTTAGTCCAGCTCTCTTTCCACTGGCAGATTATTTCACTTATAAGCAGTACTTTTTCATCAATATTAAACTACCTGTGCTGAAAAGTTTGTTTTGTCTTGTTTAAAATGTACTAAGATTTTTGCTCTACAAACTAGATCAAAAATAAAACTAGATCAAAAATAGTTGATAAGATTTTGCAGTGTGCATTCATAGTCAGCATACAACCCCAGACATATTTTTATATGAACAAACCATACCTGACAGTTTTATATGTAGCATGCGTGTGTGATACTAACCGTGTGGAGGAGGCCGGCTCAGTGGTTTGCCTCTGCATGCGCTGTGTGCGGCGCAGGAAGTGCTCCCTCATGGAGAGCTGCACATCGGCGGGGATGTCGGGGGAAGTATGGCTTATCTTCACGGCCGCCTCCAGGAAGCCCATCGAACCCACAGGGTCTTTCACCTTCTCTGTCGCCATGGTGATCGCTTGCTGCTGGGGACTGGGCAGAGGGAGGGATGGCTGGAGCGGGTAGTGCTGCGGGCCACAGGCCGGGCTGAGAGATGGGCTTGGGAACTGGGCCTTGCTCCGCCAAGGCACCCAGCAGAGCTTCCAGGAGACTAATGTGAGTAGGCCCAGCAGAGCGAGGCCGCAAACAAGAAACACAGCGAGCACAAGGCCAAAAGTAGCGTCTGGTGGTGAGCCGCAGGGACCAGAAGCAGAGGATCACACAATATGGACAAACAGATGGTGATTACAAGGGTGAGGGAGGACGCACAGAGAGAAAGAGAGAGTCTATTAGAACATGGTTTTTGATACAGTCTGCTGCTGCATCAGTGGTTTCAATATAACACTGAGAGCATTGTGTAAGTACAGTGTGCAATGTACTTCATAAATATTTAAAACGAACCACCATTAGTCAGTTCAGCCAAGGGAAACGCAAAATAAACATAATTTAAATCCAAGTGTAGCTAGCTCTTAGTTTCCACCATGTTACTGGCCGTGAATGTATTATTCCAAATGTGACAAATTATTAATATAAAACAAACAAATTCAGAATTTGCATTGAAAAAACCAAACCGACAAGGATACCAGAAATATCTCTGGTATTTTTAGCAATCAGGCACAAACAAAATGAATGCACAGGCAAGCCCATTTATTTTCCTCTCTATGAAAATCCTTTACATGAGTAGCACACAAAGAGCTGGACGTTCACCAAGAAGGCTGTCAAGCACCCTGCAGGGATTCACAACGAGCGAAGGACAAAATCCACAGGGAAGTGTACTCAGTCTACAAGTGCAGCCTTTTTCCCTTTAAATTTACACTCAGCACCTGTGGCTTAGAGCATCTTCTCCTGCTCTTCACAGGGGATTTAAACTCTGCTATCAAAAATTTGCTTCAGTGTTCCTTTTTGATTGTTCAGTTTTATCTACAATTACATGCAGAGGAGAGTTTTAGTGGCTACTTAGAGGATGCTTGAACTCCTCTTCTGCACCAGAGAAAGAGCAAAAGGCTGCACAAATGCATGTGGAAATGGCTTTGACTCGACCTTTTCTCACCAAAACTCAAATATGAGCACTGACATGAGCAGAAACCTGCTGCTGGTGTTCTTCCAGGTTACATCATGAGCTTAGTTTACAACAATGCTGTATAGGGCTTGGCTAGAATTACATAAACAGTGGAAATAGAGGATAATTTTGCCATTATTCAAAGAACAAACCAACTCACACAAATATTTTTGCAGATTTAGATAATAGTTTTAAGACAATTAAACAAACAAAAAGCAATTATTACTCTTTAAACAGGACTTTGAAATTGAGTCAAAGCATACATTTTTTAAACTTCTTTACCGCTATGTAAAGAAAAATTGCAGGAAGAGCATGATGAAATAGGTTTGTTGTTTTGAATCTGAAATAATCAAATCTCATTACACCTTGATATGAGTAACTGTCCCATGCATTTCCAATGTTAGCATTAAAGATTACATTGGTGATGGAAAGACAATTGTAGAAAAATGATAACAAGCCAAATATGGTGCTTTTGTGTAAATTGTTGCACTGTGATCTTTTACAACTATTTAGAATACAATATATTGAATATATTTTGGAAGAGATGTGGTAAACATAAAGAACAGTTCTGGTTTGGCACTGAAATCACCTTGTTGGGAAATCCCAAAAGAAATGATAATCTATAAGTTTCTTTAGACTAACATTTGCTTTTTAGCACTGGATAGATTTGCACTGTTTGTAACTGGATGTAAAAATGAATACTGACTAAAATGAATAGACTGAATGTAACTTGATTTAGATTAGCTTTTTAAATGCCTTACCTAAATAAAATGAATTTAAATTGAACTGAATTCAAATGGATAAGTGAAAATTTTCCTACATAAGGAGCAGATCGCTTAACTACATAAATCTATAACATTCATCCTGAAACTATTACATAAAAGTAGTGGAAGTAGAGCTTTATTTTTCTCTGATTATCCAGTGAAACTCATCAGAGTGAAGATACTAAAGAACATAATTTTGATTCATTTAAAAAGGGAACTCATTTAATATGTCAATGGGCTACTTTTTAAGTTTCCTATCACAATGTGCCCAAATTTATGGGATTCATTACAGGGAACTTGAACTTGAGCTAATTGGAAAGTCCTTAAAGGAAACTTTTTGGCTTAGCTATGCGACAGACCGGATTTCAAGTCTCACGGATTTATCCCTGAGGAGGCTTTCTCGGCTGTCCACGGCCCTGGCCTGCACATGTCATGTGAAATTTCACACGGCTCTCCACAGAGCTTCATCCAGACTGGACTGTTGCTTGCAGTCTTCATCCTTGGTCACAGCAAATCGAAGCTGATCCCAGGCTGTGCTCTCAGACACGCTGCCGTACGTCTCAGTCTTTCACTACAAAAATGTGTTGACGGGATGGGAATTCGGGCTGAGCATGTAATTCTTTCTAATTTTAATGGGTTTCCACTACAGGGACATCTTTGACACTGAACGGTGTGTGACAGACACAAACAGAAAAACAACCCAAGCCTGATTTACGGGAAGGCGTTCTGAACTTCAGTAATGGTGGATTCATTAATACATTTTGTCACACCTGCTGTGCTTCATGTTTACATTTGAAACATTTGCACTTCTTCAAGCTGACATGATCAAAGCATTGTAAATTTGTTAACTTTAGAAGACACTGCTTTCACAGGATGTACAAAGAGCCTTGACTTGATTATTGTGTTACGAACAAACACAGCAATTTTCATGCATGTTTGCTGTGATTGCCCAAATTTATGGAAATGTAGCTGTGTGTCAGACACAGTGGCATTCCAGGTCCCATTGTATGAGAATGAATCATTTGAGTGTGTTCACATTTGAATGCATCTGAGCCTGAACTTTGATGCTGCAGCTCGAGAGGTAAGAGCCTTTTAACAGGTCCCTCTCCTCTCATGCAATAACTTGGGGTGTGAAAATATCTGGCACAAAAAAAAAAAACATGACTGTGCGAGCAGAGTCCCAGACATGTGATCTTAATATCCTTGTGATTGTTCACCTGGCACATTGACCTTGACATATTCATCTTTCAGTAAACAGCTTCCAGAAGATGAAAAGACTGTTTATATCATTGTTGTGTTTTTTGCTGATAGCAACCAAATTGCTGAAAAATAAAAATGTCAGATAAAATAAAATGCCAAAGATTTTTTTCATCGCATTTTGTTGTGTTACAGCCACATTATATGTGGCAAAAGAAAGAAGCTGATTACTGTAATTTAACTGAAAAGAATAAATAATTTCAGCATCATTTCTATTAACAAAAACCTGAAGCATGGTATGCCTTTGTATTCAGTATATCCTACTCTAATACAATTAACTCTAGTCCAACCATATTTAGACCAAGGGTGCTCAAAGTCAGTCCTCGAGAGCCAGCAGCCTGCAAGTTTTTGTTCTCTCCCTGATGGTAGAAAAAATCTTTTCAGAATGTCTATGCTCTTCTTAAGGCTTCTAACGAACCGTCATTTGATCCAGGCGCGTTAAAGCAGGGAGAGAACTAAAACATGCAGGATGCTGGTCCTCGAGGACTTTGGGCACAGCATCATGAACACTAAGAAAACGAGCAGGAAAAACAGACTTATTACACATACAATGAGTAAAACAAGTATAGAACAATACATGTGACAATAGTTTTTCTATACAAGCGCCGTCTTGAATCTGTCATTACCAACACAGATTTTTGTACAAAGTTTGAAATAAATATCAGTAAGTGTGTTCAATACTTATTTTACCCACAAGAACATAAAACAGTAAAACACAATGTATCACTTTTCAGTTTGCACTACTTTGTGTTGATTTATGTTACACAAGTTGAAGAAAACACTTTTTTTATGATTATGAAAAAACATTAATCAATTCAAAAGATACAAATACTTTTGCCAATCACCAATGTCAAAACTGAAAGCAATAATTTTCTGGTTGCTTCAGACAAACCATGCCCATCCCTAGAATCAGAACTCCCCAACAGAATCAGATTTGCTCCAGCTGGACGACACACCTTCCAAACCTGCCCACTAAAGCTGGCTGGACACACGCATGTCCTCCCATAGAGTGAAAAACACATCCCAGCTTGAGGAAACATCTGCAAGGCACCATCTCACATGTTAGAGATCTGTTGCCAGAAACCTTGAGGTAGATCTGCTTGCCACAAAAACAATTCTGCTGCCTATTACACAAAAATGTGAAATTGTAGAAGGTGTAGACTCCAGTTTCCTGGATAAATATGTTGTTTTCTTTGCTACATGATGAAGCCAAGGCCTTTTTTTTGTTGTAATTTTCTGAACAAATCATTATCTGATGCAGAATGCTGATTGGCCACCTTGACCTGCTGATGGAAATAGCAGCAACTTCACAGCATACTCCAATACAGTCTATTTTCTGAAGTTATTTGAGACTCAGAGGCAATGATAGAAATTCTGCATGTCTCATTTGTGCTCAGAGATGACTGATGAATGTTTATTAACTGCGTATTTAGATTATATCTTTCCCCCAGCTGACCAGAGGTAAGCTCATTAGCACACAATCGTTACAGTCATCCTGAAAGATGTTGAAATTGCTCTGTTAGAAACTCATTTATTGGTATAAAACCTAAAATCTTGTTCACAAGTGTGTCTCATTGGATTATCCACCCTCATAGGCAAATTTTAAGTCTCAGTCACCACGGCTTAACACATGCTGTGATGATGAACCACTGATCTCTTGCCAGATTGGAGTTTTTCCATCACACCCAGAAGAGAAAACGCCTGCTCCTCTCTTTAGCTTGCCATCAGCTCTTCAACATCTGCCGATTGCTGTGCAAACTCTGGCCTAAACTCTGCAGCTGTTCTCACTCCAAACCTCTGATATTTAGAGAGGAAAGGTGGTGCAGTATATTTAATTGCTCCAGGTAAGGCTTCATAAAAAGAAAAGCAGTATGTTGATGACAAACAAAACAAAAAAGAAGAGTGTGATCTGCAAAGTGTGCTTGGCCCGCCAAAAAACATCAAATTAATTATTCAGACGATGTTTAAATCTCCAAACATTTCATGAACTTCAATCAATAGAGTAAATAGTAAATAGATATTGACATGGAGGGAGTTCAACTCAGAAAATAGTAGAAAAAGCAAACATAAAAAATGTAGAAAGTCGGGATTCTGCATGGTGTG